AAAAAAACTTCGAAAAATCTTCCTTTGAGACAAGTCAGAGAATACGTGTTGAACGTTAAACAAGTTGCGAAATTTATGAACAGAATGTAATTCATGCGCGCATTTGCGCATGCCCAGAACTGCGACACTCATATATTTCGCAAGTCATAAATTTCGCGTGACACCGGTATGTGTGGGCTTTTAGGCTGCGTTCAGACTGAGTGCTCGGCACCGGTGCATGCGTAGAGTCAAAACTGGTTCATAAAACATGCTGAGCACAGTGCCCTTGTTAAATACTACCTCCATAAGTAGTGCTCTTTCAGAAAAAGTGACGACGGGCGCCATTTTTGAGCACTCTCCAGAGATGCATGCTCCAAAGATTTATATTCAGTTATGTAAATGTCCAAACATACAAGACTTATTTATTGTGAGTCGGCCATAGATGTATGATAATTGTAAAAACAATTTCCCATTGTATTATGTTGTTTATATGTTTCCAACCATGCAATTATCCGCAAAGAACCTCTATCGCCTCTACGAGTATATCATTTGTCACATTTTAGACATTTAATAATTAACAGATTACTTATAAGCGACGTGATTGAGTTTGAAAGTGTCCAAATATATAAATGCTCTATATTGGGATGAATTTGAAATTAGCATTTAGTATTTGGAAGCATTGGACGAAAGCAGTTCTGAAGTAACCCTTCTTGGTAGCCTAAACTGAGATGCGGTTTAAATGAAAATGAAAATGATGTGAAATGAAGAAAACAATTGAAATTATTTGTAGTTTTACATGAGCGCACGTTGAAATTTGCACATTCTTTTATATAGGTTGCCACGAGGTTCGTGAAGGCCATATTGTCTTAATTTCTCCGCGTTCTCAACCAACGGACGATTCCTTATCGGGTACAGCCAGTAAATCTATGGAGATGACAGAAATAGGTGGCCTAAGCTCCAGGGGTAATGCTCCGGTGACATGGGAAACCGTAGGTGAGAATCTTGACGAAAGAAAATGGGGTTCGGGACCCATTCTCAAAGAGGAAACAATCAACGGTATTTCTGGTTTCCCTGCTGGATTAGGCTGTTGTGATTGCAAGAGTCGTTGTTCCTGCTGTGATAGTTTCTTGGCCTTTCCTCGTCATACAACTATGAATCAGTTTTTTACACCTCGTTTGTTCACTGTTTATCACAGAGAAGGTTACAGGGCGTGCATGGAATGCGATGATTTTCTAAAACCAGCTAGTAAAAGTTTCAAACAACCCAAATTAGTGACACATGTGTAGTTTACTCACCAACATCAAGAACTGGTTATGTATGGGCGCGTCTGTTACATGCACAGAATGATTGAAATATCCAGCCTGGACAAATGTTTATTTTATTGTTTTCATCCAGGAAAACTACCGGAATTGAGTTATAACGAAAGGAAATTTGTAAAGAATCATCTCTTTTTGGGACAAATTTTACTGCAAGATGTCATATGTGGCTCTAATAATAGCTTTTTATAATTCTATTCTAGAAACCTGGTCGTATAGAACTACCTTCTAACTCCGTTTTAATTTTTACTAGTTAAAATTTAATGGCAGTGAACTCTCAAAATGCATGTCGATTCTTATTAGCCCCCAATTAATAGGTATAATTCAACTACTCTTTGTATACAGGGTGTCTCAAAAAAAACTTTTGAAATCATTCATTGTTACAATTTGAATGCCGTGTTCACGAGTTTTAGCCCGTGGGGATTTAATGCAACTTATAAAATGCTAAATACGAAAAATTTGAAATTGTGAATATGATTGAATAAATTAGCCTTGTTATTGCTTCGAAAGAAGATGGTACAGCTGACCGCGGAACAACGAGTGTTTATTGTGATATTATCCCAACAGAGTGCTCAGGCATTCAAACTCTAACAATTACATTGTTATGGGTGATTTCAATAGTTTTCGGTTTTTTGAGACACCCTGTACAACCAGCCACAGGAGATTATGTATTCATGTCAAATAATGCTTATTTTTATCAACTATAATTAGTATGTACAGTATTATTCACTCCACTGTGTAGGCGGACAGTGTAGCATGCTCTTTATAAATACAATTGGAAGCTATTTAAAATTGATTATGATCAACTACAGGGTGTCCCAAAAAAAACGAAAACTATTGAAATCACCCATAACAATGCCATTGTTAGAGTTTGAATGCCCAAGCACTCTGTTGGGCCCACAAGTGTATAAATCAGGGTTGCCATAAGCATTTTTATGCATGCATATGATGCAGTCAAATTTGCTTGTTCGCAAAAATGATATTTATCAACAATATTTACAATTTACAAATTTGGATAACATCATTTAAATGTCGTCTCAAGGACCATGACCTTCGATATGTCCCCTTTCTCTAGCAACACAAAGCATTTAGCATTTTATAAGTTGCATTAAATCCCCACGGGCTGAAATTCGTGAGCACGGCATTCAAATTTTAACAATGAGTGATTTCAATAGTTTTCGTTTTTTTTGGGACACCCTGTATAGTTGGGAAATACCGAGTTGATACAATATTGAAGAATCAGTTTGGGATTACTGGGTAATTGAGACAACACCTTCTTCGTGTAAAATCGCTTGATGAATGATTGCAATTATAGAAGGGCTATCTTTAAAACCAGGAACGGGGAATCAAGGAACGGGGAACGAGGAAGGGGGAACGAGGAATGAGAATCTCCGGAATCTTTAAAAGCCGGAATGAGAATCTCCGGATTCTTTAAAACCCGGAACGAGAATCTCCGGAATCTTTAAAACCCGGAATGAGAATCTCCGGAATCTTTAAAAGGCGGAATGAGAATCTGCGGAATCTTTAGAATCCGGAACGAGAATCTCCGGAATTGCGGTCGACCGTGATGCGAGCTCGGTGCGACGTGGCTTCAAGGTCGCATTTTGCATGTGTCGAATTCAATTCGCTTGAAGAGAAAGTCATGCATGTTATGATATTGAAAGGCACTCGTATGGAAATATAGAGGCCATAGACAAAAGAATTGAACCAGAACAATCGTATTGTATCACGTGTGCAAGAAAGTTGACAAATACATTTGCCTACCGCTTATATTTGTAATCCCAAGGCAGTCAAGGCTGGCTGGCTTGCTGGAAGCGGCTGGGAAGCAGTTGGATATTGCATAAAGTGCAATATATTTAGGTAAGAATATGAGGAAAATAATAGCAAGAAAAGGATTTCTAGAAATATGACATTTTTTATTTACGCCCAAGCGGACTGTCGTTGATCATAAGGAATAGAGCCCGCAACTATTGGAATTCAGCACATGCGAAATGCGACATTTGAAATGACCGTCGGATTATTGTTTTAGGGTCGAATCTAATTAGAATTGTATTCGACACATGCAAAATGCGACGTTTGAAACCGGCCTAAGTTTTATCAAACCTAATACTACTATTAATATTGAGAGTAGTTTGGAAAAGCTAGCACTTAGTTCTAGCTTACTGTATATATATTAAACTGAAAAACACTGAAACGGTGAAACTCTTGCCCCCTCTCCTGCCCTATCATTTCAATGCCTAATGGTAGTTACAGGTTTGACGGGTACTCCCAGTGTATTTATAAACATTTTTGGTACATTTTTCCACCAGAGCCAGTAGGATGCACATAGACAGTCCAATCTAATTTATTCATACCAAAAATTTGAGCAGCTTTTGAACAAGTGAAATTATAACCATAACTTTTCCTCAGAAGAAAGAAATCAAAGGCCTACCAATAACAATGTTAATTTAGCTTGTAACTAATTGCTGCACTTGTAGTAGATACTGAAAACCAGGGTACATAATATACATATACACATCTCCTGGTTTTCAGTATCTACTCCATTGTGTTAAGGTGCAACAAGTATGAATTGCACTTGATGAGCACGCCATAGAAAATTTCCAATTAGCAGTACATAGTTACGGAGCAATGAAATTGTGGACATATGATATTGCACTGCATGAAAGCAAAAGAAATCATTTCAGTATTTCTTTGTGACACCTAAAAATATATTTTAGTGGTAAAATGAAAGTCAAACATATAGAATTGAGGAAGCTAAATTCCTCACACAAATTTGAATCCCTTTACACCCATGTAAATTAATGTGACAGTTCAACAACCCTGAGCTAAATGACAATTGAAATGTTATATATACAACAAAGTGAACACTTGTCAACCCCTTTGGAAAACAAATAGCTAGTGACAAACCAAGTGCTGCTTTTTTAACTAAAGGCCATGGTATGTGCTGGATAAAAAAGCTAAATTAACATTGTTATTGGTAGGCCTTTGATTTCTTTCTTGTGAAAAAACTTACTGATTCTGTAAATGATAGGTTGTTTGATGTTATAAGTTGTCATGGAGCATATATCAATAGATGATTCCACTCCATTGAACCTGCATGCCGCATTTTGGGAATGTAAATGGATTGAACTTGAACAATTTTGTCGTAGTGTGTCGTAGTGGAATAGCAACAGATTCTTGTTCAACAGCTTTCCATAAGTCATCTAATGTGGAAAACTGTTTCCCATCAGCATAAATCCTTTGCTTGACTATTGCCCATAAGTTTTCGATTGGATTTATATCCGGCGAATTTGAGGGCCAAACCATTAGCGTTTCGTTCTTGAAACCAAGGCTCTCCAGGAATAGAGTTGTTGCTTTTGCAGCATGGGATGGTGCGTTGTCATGCATGTATACAACTTTCTTTAGTCGTGATAATGGTACCTCTTCTAGCCAAGGGACAAGTACGTTCTTGAGAAACTGACAGTACGTAGCAGATGTAAGTTTTACCCCTTGAGGAACCCGAACAGGACCAACAAGCTCGTCACCAATAATGCCTGCCCCTATCATTACGCCCCCACCACCTTGCTGACGTCTTAATCTTACTGGAGACTGTTCACCATTTATGACCCATCCTTTTGCCCATCCATCTGGTCCATCCAACGTTGCTCGGGATTCGTCTGTAAAAAGGACGCGTTTCATATCCAATATCATGTATTTTCTTGCCCAATGAAGGCGCAAATCTTTGTGCCTTCAGGTAAGTGGGGGTCTTTTTTGTGGAGCTCTGTGTTTCACTATCATTCTCAATATTCTATTTCTAGTGGTTTTTGCAATGTCTGTCAAGCCACACGCTTGGAAAATTCTTCTGCTGATTGCTCCAGGTTGTTTTCGTAAAGTTATTTTGATTCGACGTAGATCTCGCTTAGAAACAGATTTCAGAACACCACTATCAGACCGGGTCTTCCTCTTCTTCATGGGGTGACTTACAAATTTTTTCACTGTCTCTAAATGGCGGTTGATCATCTTTGCAATATCTTGCAGTGAAGTTGATTTGGCTAATTCTTTTATAATCTGAGTTTTTTCTTCCTCGTTGAGATCTTTACCTCGTCCCATTGTGATAGTGAATGATAAAAACTAATAAAGTGGGTCACCTTTATATGCAAAAAGTTCCTTCCACCTTTGTCACGTGACTTTCACAAATGTAAACATCCGAATGGTGTTTCCACAGTTTTCCTTGAAGTTATCACCAGCTTTGCAAACTGGACGTACTATTTTCAAAAAAGAAACCCCACATACCCAAAATAACTAACACCGTGGTTCATACTGTAGTGAAGTATTAACTTAAACTGTGAAAGTCTATAACTTCATGCAACGGTAATGCAGCAGGAAACGGGTGATTTCACCTCACCTTTTAATACGACTGTGTTCGTTTCCGAAAAATTTCAAACATCACCTATCGGCTTTACATTTAGGTCATTTCAAACTATTCAAGGCTAGGTCTGGCTAGCTTAGGGTATAGGCTTAGAATATTTTGCCTCGTGATGAAATGGCGAGGGGTTGCTGCATGCATGTATTTCTAGTTTTTAGATTATGATTTTGTTGAATGCAAAGACATGTTATGAAAAATGATATATACGGTACCAGCATATTAGTACATTTAAAATTTCAATTCGTTTATATTATATAATGTGATTATTCGAAATGTAGGTTTTTCGACCGTTATTCATTTTGTTTTGGTGTTAATCTCCGCGTGTATGTCTGCAGCAATGATGTAAACCCATCACCTAACTGAGTGCACTAAACTGCACTTACGTAGTATGACATTTTGTATGAGATGTGCGCATATGCATGAATAAAATATGCATACGCTCCTTCGGTATTTTTAGATATTTCCCCTTATAACAAAGAATATGTAATATATATAGTATAGTGATCGATAGTGCGGTTGGAATGACGTTTACAAAAGGATGTGAAAATAAATTATGCATGCATGCTACTTTATGTATTTTAGATGTATCCATTAAATTCATAGATATATATCACCATGAGTGACTAAGTGGGTTTAATATTAATCTAACGTTTTATAAAAATAATGGTGGTAAGCGTGATTCGAATAAACTTACTTTTTTTTAAAGGAATTTTTGTAGATTGATGGTTTGTAATGTATGCCTTTCAACAGCCACGCAGCCAGGCGGTTCAAATCGCAATAATTAGGCATACTGCATTGGTGAGAGACTGCGGCTTCGATATAATTTTAGATGTTTCCTATACAGGGTGTCCCAAATTAAAAAAAAAAGCAACCACTTAAATATGCAGAACATTAATACAGCTCTAAAGCACAATAGATAAGCACCTCTGGGAATTGAAAATGGCTCTTAATCCTTCATTTACAATGCTAAAAGTCATTTTAGCTGAACTATGGTGCAAACCTGAGTTGCGTTTTTTTTGGGACACCCTGTATACAACAATGAATAAATCAACATAACTGACTAAGTTACGAAATGTCATACTGAAGGCAATTGCCAAATTCTGCTCCGAGTTGCGATTGAAAGCATGTGAAAATGAACTCATATTCCTCTTCAAAATATTTTTAGATATATTAAAGCATGCGGTTAGCCTGACGTTTTTATAAGAGCAAACGGTGGCAAGCTTTCTGCAGTGTCTCTCATAAAGAGTACTTTGAAGATAATGGTTCACTAGTGTCACCAATCAAAGCCTATATCACATGCTAGAAAATCTTTGTTGCAACAACGCACTTCGGACAATGCGAACTTGCTTCCCGCAATTTTGTTTTTACCTTATAGTCCATATATAGACGGTGTAAAAAGGAATTGCAAATTATAAAATACTGCATGGCCCTTCAATATATTTAGATTGTATAATTTGTGACCGCAGAACTTTCTTTAGACGCACAAGTGATTCATTTCCCCCTCTCTGACATCATCATGTGCAAAGTGCGTGAACTGTGAAGGTCAGCACTGAACTGTGCGGTTGACCGCGCAAGAAAACGACACTATTTAAAGTAGCTCATGTTCCTAGTCTTGCCCATAACACGCTCATCTGGTTTTTGGATTGAGAGAAGCAAGACCATAATATAGAAAGACTATATATATTTCAGGTATATAGATAACTTTTCTCATGTTCTTAAAAAAATTTTTTAATCTTTTACTAATATCATCGATCATTAAGCTTATTTCACTTCGAGATCGTATGCAAATAGTTATACCTTTCTAACATGCGCACATTTTAAACAGAGAAAGGAGGATTTTTTTTTTGGCGTCATCGACTTTGTGAATAAAGAATAAAAACAGGTACGTAATATCTATAACATCTCGGATTATAGAAATTTTCTAAATTTTCTATTTCTAGTGTGAATTGATGCATTTGCCAGAATGTGTCTTATTCGACGAGTTTATTTCAATGTCTGATATGCAAATCTTAAACTTTGCCCCGCACCAAAAATTTTGTATCAATTCGAAGTCCCTAACGACCAACTTAGCTTAATTGATGTTGATTGTGATAATATCTTACCTCTGCTGCGTTTAGTTTATATTTTATGCATGTGAATGAAATAACTGGCTAACTGACAGCACTGTCCAGACATAACCTAACAAAAATCGCGGTTAATCTAGATCAGAGCGAATTTCAGGACAGTGTACTGAATGCATAATGAATAAATTGTTGTGCCCAGTCTTTTCTCGTCTGTGACACTTTTTTTATATTTTTATTTGCAGAAATTGGCTTTTATCCCATAGGAATATGGCTAGAACTGTGTGGATCAGATGGCAATACATACGCAGGTTATCGTTTGATGAAGAAGACGGCTCGTGATTTCGATGAAAAATCAGGGTTGATCATCTAGGACGTTGCAGTAAGTGTGAAACGTCTGCTAGGTTTATAGAGGTGATAGAAATCGCAGTAACTATCTAAATCAGGAACATCAGACAAATACGGGTTGAATTCACTGTCACGCTAGAAATTTGAGAACAGCCAAAATGCTTTATAAATTACGCTTACAATAGGTTCTTATTAACCTTCATTAACAAATTTATATTTTCTTTAGATCTAAAGTGCCAAGGAATTTGCACGATTGAATACAATCCTCAATGTGGTACAGACGGCAAGACGTATGGTAATCCGTGTACCTTTAAATATGCTCAATGTGCAAGTGACGGAAGGATTACTTTGGCCCATCATGGAGAATGTGGTAGCTTTGTGGCATCAGAGTCAGCGTTTCCATTTCCAAGGAAATTTCCTAATTTCACTATGCATGGGGAGGGGGTAATTATTTTTTTTCAAGAATTATACATTATTTTCAAAAGTTCTTTGTTTTTTTTTTAATCTTTTACTAATATCATCGACCATTGAGCTTATTTCACTTTGAGATCGTATGCAAATAGCTATACCTTTCCAACATGCGCACATTTTAGACAGAGGAAGGAGCACATTTTAGACATGCCCACATTTTAGACAGAATGCTTCTTTATAATTATTGTGTTCAACATGGTAATCGATATCGCTATCCAGCTTTCGTACAACCGGCCCCTGTATGTTGCATGTGTCTGAAAACCTGCAGCCTTAAAGCCCGGGGTTTGGGAAAATGCCTACGCCAAAATGGCCACGTCGAAGCTGAAAAACCACCAATCGTTATGACCGTCAGTGCGGTGGTTCTTGTATGATCCATAACTCCATTCAAGGTAGCGCTCTTAAACTACATCACGATGCAGCTAATAACTCCACAATATCCCAGGTTCGGTTGTACGTTTTATCTGTCAGACTACTGAACGCAATTCTAAGCACAATTATTAGCTTAAAAAAATCTTGATATTTCTAAAGCCAGAGGAGAATCAGGTGACGTGTGCCGTTCCTTGTCCCATGCAGAAGGCGGCTCCGTCAAGTATGTGGATCAGATGCCAATACATATCCTAATGTTTGCATATTGAAAGAGACTGCTTGTCCGTTCAGAGAGGATCTCAAAGTTGTTCATAGAGGACCTTGCGGTAAGTTAAGAACATTTTGGCTGAATGCTTATATAACATGTTTTACTGCTCCATGGAGTTTATTTCATGTTTTTGTTGAGCATCGCACTTATACGTAATGATATCTGTAATAGGCTGTTTTTTGTGGTTTGAGTCTATTGATTTAACGAAACGGCAAAATCTGTGATTATATTCTCCTGTTCCGTATCTCGTCAGCATAACCTAGGATATCCCCAATCGATACGTAACGGCTTCTGTTATGGAACAAACAAATAACAAAATCTTCTCTGATTATATTCGCACTCGCCGAATCTGGTATATCCATGCTTTGCATGGGAACCCCAAACCACTGTTTTCCGAAAGTAATTATTTACGTTGCAAAATTACATAAACCATATAGGTAAAATAATTTGCATTTAGTAACAAATTACTTTTGTGACGGATATTGCCGTACCCTAATAGTCAAAACTTGATAAGTTTTTGTACTAGATCTTCTTGTCTATATATATATAATATATATATAATATATATAATATATGCTGAATTATAAATGTGTTTATGGTAGAACCAAAGTGTCACCCTATTATCCGATTGCCATGGAATCCTCAATGTGGTACGGATGGTATAACATATGGTAACGAATATTCTTTCAAAGCCGCCTTGTGTAAGAGTGATGGAAAAGTGAGACTGGCTCATCATGGAGAGTGTCGTATGTACATTACCCTCAGTTAAATTTAATATTTTCCATATATCCAGTTGTGGATGCAGTTCTAGAAGAAGTATATTGGAAAACATCGCAGACCTTATGAAGTCAAAACATTTATTCGCATTATCTCCCATCTTAGAAACTAAACCGGAGCTAACCTATATCGTCCCTTGTCCCAAAATAGAGCTTCCTGCAGTGTGTGGATCAGATGGCAATACGTATCCTAATTATTGTATTTTGGAAGAGACTGCTTGTGAGTTTGAAGAGAACATCACGATTGTACGCGAAGGACCTTGCAGTAAGTAAAATACGTATTTATGAATGGAAGTTGGGCAATAGTTTTACGGCTCTAGGAATTTGGTTGAGAGTATTGCACTTGCATGGGAAGATACATGTGAGGAAATTATCTTGTTTGATTCTTTCCTATGTTCATAAAATGAACACATTACTTAAGTAATGGGTAATTACGACCATCTTCAAAGCGGCATGGAATTAGGCCATTCATATCTTGTGTTCACACTATGCCAGCAATGATACAAAACCGTAATGCTAACCTTAAGAGTTTGAAAGAGGAATGACATGAACTATGTGATCATGAGCACCTGACTGTCGTAAGAGTTTCATTTTTTCATTAAAAATGTGCATGGATAAAATACTCTCAATTCATAGTACCAAAGTGTTCAGCGACTTGCACAAAGGAATGCAATCCACAATGTGGTACAGACGGCAAGACATACGCTAACCCGTGTGTCTTCAAATATGAACAATGTAAAAGTGACAGGAAAATTAGATTGGCCTACCATGCAGAGTGTAAAGTGTAAGTTATTCTTATACCGTTTTCTTTCGTTTTCACTTTCCATACAATGCATTTTTGTCCTGCCTTATGTCACTCATCCTTTTTAGGCCTTGGAAGTAATAAAGAACGAAGGGATCCTGATCACCTACGAATTTGTTTAACAATGTATAGTTTAGTATTTGTTGTTTCAATAATTGTCAATCAGTAAATTTTTTCAAAGAACCTGTGATAATACTGTAAGAATGTCTTCTATATTGTCAGCTGCTTAATTGTTTTATGTTCTTTTGCAAATAAATGTTTGACTCCTTAGCAGTTGTACCGGCTATTTTTACATTTTTGTGCAGAAGAGGAAATTTATCTGAGCAACAAGGCTTGCAACCTGAATTTTACTAAGTCGTGGCATATAAGCATTACCATAAAAAATTCCAATTCATTAAAGTGCAAAATGTAAACTAAGTCTAACAACGAATTATTAACTGGCCATGCAATGGTCGCAAGCTTGTATAAACATATGTCTCTAAGTGGTTTAAAAAATATGTGTTTGTTCCTTTTACCAAAATTTGTTTAGGATTTAGGAATAATCATATCCATTTGTGCAATTGTAGGATAGATATATTGGGGAACATCCCGGTCTTTATTAAGTCGACAAAATTATTCGCATATTCTCCTATCTTAGAAACTAAGCCGGAGCCAACCTGTATCGTCCTTTCACTCCCTTGTCCCAAAATACAGCTTCCTGCAGTATGTGGATCAGATGGCAATACCTATCCCAATTATTGTATTTTGGAAGAAACTGCTTGTCAGTCTGGAGAGAACATCACGATTGTACGCGAAGAACCTTGCAGTAAGTAATATTTATCATTGAAAGTGTAAATTCAGATAATCCGACATCTTTCTTCATTGAAATTCGAAGCCACTTTTCAACCAGTGGTTGTCACTTTTGCTAGTACGCTCAACAATTTCGAAGAGAAATTATTCGTGTGAAAGCTAGGAGCTAGCTTGTAGTGATTGTACCGTTTTCTTTCGTTTCCAATTTCCATATAATAAATTTTTGTCATGTTTATGTCATTCATCTTTTTTAGGCTAGGAGGGAATAAAGAACGAAGGGATCCTAATGACCTTCGAATTTGTTTATCAATGTGTATTTTGGTATTTGTTGATTTATTAATTTTAATAATCAAGGACAATACTGTAAGAATGTCTTCTATTGTGTCAGATGCTTAAATGTTTTATGTTCTTTTCCAAATTAATGTTTGAGTCCTTCAGTAGTTGTCGTTCTGTTTTCACATTTCTGGGCAAGAGAGCTCATTTATTTGAGCTCGTTCACAAGATTGAGTCTACCGCTTGTGCGAGCTAGGATTCGAAAATCTGGGGAAGAATTTTTTCAATTTGTGATTGTAATAATTGGCAAAACAGTCAACCGTATGTGGTCTCCAGTTAGTGTCAAGCTGTTGAAATACCTCTTCAGTAATTCGCCATGCAGGCATCGGGCTTTATCAATTTTCTTAAATTAGTTCTGATGTTTTGCTCGCGTGGTACACACTGTATGCCTAAGGGCCCATGTTTAAGAGAAAAATTAAATATGTCGATGGACAGCTTATGCAATTATAGTTGCATACTTCCGATTTCCATTATCTAGCTGCCGCTTGACTGTCTGTAAACCATTTCACATGCGTATGAGAGATTAAATCTGTAAATGACCTCACGGAGAAAGCTAGCTATATCGGATAGTTCGCGCAAGATCGAGCTTTTTCGTTTTTCCTCTTCTTCCCATAGCCTATGACAAATGGCCTCGTTATTTAGCGTAATTACCGACCCACAACGGGTAATGCTAGCGTCTGAGTACACATGCAAAACAATTAGGTGACTTATAATGAAAACATTAGACACCTTTACCTTGACGTTTACGGCAAACGCCAAACCGCTAACAAAGTTTGTGTTTTAACTCAGTAATTATATTTTGTTGATGAATATTGTCTTACAGAAGAAGTTACCAGAATGCAAGGGAATGCACTTTCAAAAACAACTTTTCATTGTTATGAATTAAATTGTCATATGTGAGAAAATCTCAGTAAGTTGATGAAATTCTAACTTCTACATCACATGCAGTGCAATCTTTTAAATTTCTTATTAAGTTACATATATTTTTTTGGTTCTCTCCCATTAGATCCTCCCGTTACTATTATAAAGGTTTTACTCTGAAGGAGCAGAATTTGAATTTTTTTAGTATTGACTGGATGTATTCTGAAACTAAGAAAGCATGTCAAAAAGGTCGGGCCAGATTTTACCTTGCATGATTTGCTTTTTATATTATATATTTTAGGTATGCCATGTCCATCTGTTAGGCATTGTAGCAATTCATCTAATTCTAAAATTGCAAGCGGTGCTTGTACTGTATACGGAGAAGGAGGAGGCTACTCAGTGTTGCTGTATTTAAGGTCTTCAGAATACTCAAAGAATCACGGAAAACACAAAGAAAACGAAATTTCAACTGCGCTACGTACCTTGCTCGAGCCGCTGCCATATTCGTTTTACCTTTTACGTCTTTCGGTACTATTTCCCGCTCGGAACTCTTACCCGTTACATACATTTTCTTAAGTTATAAAATTAATGTGCCTGTGTCTACGGGTACGGTTACATTACAAGTACCCGTACACCGGAACCGGGGTATCTTAAGGCCTTAAGGAATTGCAATGCAATTCTACTTTTGAGAGATGTATTTGGGAACAACGAAACTTTTGTGTTTATTACACTTCGTGCACTTTTCTTCTGCAAGACTCTTCACTAATTTACATCTCTTAGAAGTAGAATTGCATTGCAAGTTGCAAGAAAAATTGCACCGTGTAACATGCAGTGGCGTAGCCAGCCTGACGATTTGGTCATGCTATGCAAATTTTATGTTATTATCATTATTCATTTCTTTATATTAGTAATTCATTGTTTTTACAGTCAATGAACACCAAAATATTAGCATAGCATGACTAAATTGTCGGGCTGGCTACGCCACTGGTAACATGGCCTTCAGCCTCTCTATTGTCCTGCTGTGGATGTTGTCGCTTCTCTTAATCTTTATATTTGTTCTTGTTGCGTAATTATTTCTTTTTGAGAAATTAATATTTTATATAATTTTAATCGCGAAGACATTCCTTCTTTCAGTTTTCGTTTTCCAGTTAACGTTTCGCCTAAAATATGTTGGAAAAAACAAAACACTTGTGATATTATTCAGGCACGTCTACTCTCAAGAAAGCGACTTCAAATAATGACATGTAACCCCGTGCAGGATATTGAGATCGCAGATGTAAAAATGATTGTATTCAATATTCAGTGATACTCGGGTTTCATGATAAAGTGACGCTGGCCCGGTTACTTCAATTCATTTTTTTGCAAAAGTAAAGGATTTTTAAATGGCAGTTGTCACATTTTTATGTTGCTTTATTGGTGAATATTGGGAAGGTGTTTTTGCAATCTAGCCTTCAATTTTTCTACTAAACAGTTTGCGTTTGGCCTAATAGGTTTGGCCTAATAGGTATAACATCATGCACACCGTACGCCGAAGGTTTTAAAATCAATAGACAACAGGCTGAAATGCCGCATTATATCTATAATTTCGAATGCATTCAGTGCATAAGAACCGCGACATCTGGCCTAGACATGAGTGTTTTGCCAAGTTTAGCAATGTCAATAATCATTGTTTCAGCTCCTTCTCTCTTAAGACTAAGTCCAAGTACAGTATAAGCTTAATGACAAGTAACTGCACATGGGATGTTACATGTTAGCACAGTATACGTAATACACTTCGTATTTATGTCTACAGAACATATTATCGTTTGTGAAAGAGAATTATAATTCCACGAGTTTCAAAAAAATAACCGAGACAGCAAGGTAGGAAATATTTTTGAATTTTTAAATATTTTTTATATTTTTCGGATTCGAAAGGATCGACAACATTTTACTTTGGTTGTTAAAAATATTACGTTCTAGTTTATGTCAACATTGCATGGTGTGCGTTTCATTTTTTAGTTTCTAAATATGATTCCTATATGAAATGGAATATATTGATTATGTAATAAATATAGTAATTAACGATAAAAGAGAAAAAATGTAGTCATTAACGATAAAAGGGAAGGAATGTCTTTATTTAAAAATTGCTAAGTATGGTGTTCTTAGTATAATGTTCAATATAGATTCGGGTCCTATTTATAAAGTAATTTATTCAACCCACGCACATGCATGCATATCTTGCGCGCGATTAAAACTATTGCGCTGCGGATAAAACTTAGATACATTTTTCACGAGCTGGTTGTACGAAACTCGCTTATATATAAATGTACTGCTTATACTACATATAAATGTAAATGTAGTGCTTCGATGTATAAATGTACTACCGATTAAGTTTATTTTAGAATGCCTATCAGTATGAAATATTCAGTACCATATTCTACGCTATGTGCACAAAGAATGCAACTCGTCAACTAAATTAGCAGCAATATTTTTGCTGTGAATTTAAAGCGAACCTTGCGTTTCTGAATTGCGTTCGCCGTGTCCTCAAAGACATCTGGGAGTAGCAGCATAATAATATATTATCTTACAGCTTTGCTATATTTGGGCAGTTTTCTCCGATCGTTGCTTTCATAATTAGTCCAAGTAGAAAATACGTTGAAAATGGAGAAACTGAAAAATTATTATACACTATTGACCTTGGCCACCGTATCGCTGTATGCAAAAGTATTCGGCGAATGTTTTAGTCCCTTTAATTCGGGCAGTGCTGCTGTCCACTTCATTCACTTCAAATGTCATTGAAACATGCGCGTATCCGCGCGGAAAATTTTTTAAAATCCTCATAAAATCTATTTAGTTTTCTGCTCAAATCACATTGTTTCTGCAGTGTTGTTGCAAAATACTTTACTTCACTTAAAGGCCTTCACGGCGGCTTTCATTCAACCTGAAGATCGTTAATACTGTCACACACTCAAGTCAACCTGTTTTCGGGCAATAACTTTCATGTTTAAAAGAGCTGAGAGTCCG